CTGCCAGCGTCCAGGCTCCAGGCAGCAGGCCCGCTCGCCGTCTCCTTGGCATAACTGAGCTCGCTGGGGACAGACCTGGACAGGCAGGTCGGGGACAGGCCTCCTCGGACCCTGCATTGTAAGACGCGGGCACCACCTGCACACTGCACAGTCCCCAAAGCTCCCACTCCCTCGCCGTGGGCAAGCTCTGCAGCTCACTTCTGGGGTTCACAGTGCCCGGGACTACCCCGGACACGGCACCTTCTCTAACAGGGCAGCCTTTGGGAACAGCAGAGCAGGAGCCGAGGCCACATTGCCCAGCCTGCTCCCCCACGGTGCCCCCGATACACTCAGAGACCCGTCCCAGGGAGCCCTTCTGTGCCCAGAGGGGGCCTCCTTGTCTCTAAAGATGGTGGGACACAGAGGGACCAGACCCTCAGGCCCCGCTGATTCCCAGGCTCGTGACCCTGAGGGCAGTCCCCTTGTCCACCACACGACTTCCACTCGCTGGTCCGAGCCTAGGCCTCTGGTCTCCCTGGGACTCCGCGTCATGGCCACTAACGTGAAGGGATGTGCCTTGCTCTCGCTGACCTGGCCACGAGCCTGCACAAGGCCACGGGTGACACCCCTCCTGGGGCACATGAGCCTATGACACCCATCGTGCTGGGAAGTGGCCTCCATTGTTTTCTGGGTTTTGACTTATATTTAAAGGGTTATGTATTTAACTGTACTCATCATTATTACTAGTACTATTATTTCTCAATTTGCTGTAGGCCATGCACACTCGCCGGAGAGGGAAATTGAGAAAACAAGCAGTCGGGTCCGGACTCAAACGGCGACCAGCCACGTGGTGGTCCAGCGGCCAGCCCAGGACACTGTGGCCCCGCGACCCCTTCCTTTACCCACTGGCTCAGCAAAGGCCCCACCGGTGGCCTCCCCAGCTTGTGGCCAACACAAACGGGCTCCGTCACACAGCTGCGAACTAGGGGACAGCTCAGAGCACCCGGTCCTCCACGTGACCCCGGCTCTCTTGGGCCTGAGTGTCCCAGGCCCACAGGGAACCGGCCACCTCTGGGGCTCCCAGATCTTGGGGAAGGAGCTGTGCCCGCCACCTGGGTCTGCGCGGAAGGAGGAGCGACGTTTCTAAGCACGTGGCCGCTTTGTCAAGGTAGGACTTAAACGCCCTAGGAGGCACCTGCCTGGATTAGAGAAGTAATGCCTTCAAGGGCGTGCTCTGCCTCCACATCCCAGCTTCCCTGTCTCTTTGCTTAGTGACACTCACAGGCTCTTTTCTCTTCTAAAAGCGGCTGTGTCGAGGGGCCAGCAGGCACGGTGTTTAGGGTGCTGGATTCTCATGTGGCCAACCGCAGTTCAAATCCTGGACCTGACAGCCTGAAAATCATGTCAGACGGGTGTGCGTGCATGCCCCACGTCCCCAGAGAGTGGAGGAGAGATCATGGCATGCTCCCCCGGGGGTGGTCTCTCACCTTCCCTCCCTCTGTGTGTCTCTCTGTCTCTCTCCAGCAAGCGCACGTGCCCTATGACAAAAGCCTAAACCAAACAAAGACAGACATCTGAGGATATAGCTCACAGTCCACACAGCCACCCTCTGCAGCCCCAGGCTGTCACCTCACCCAAGGAGCCACGCCGGCTCGCCCATGTCCCCAACCCCAAGCTTGGCCCTGGCTGCGGGTTAGTGTCTGCTCCCTGGATTTGCCAATGGCCCACACAGCACAGGGCCTGCACTAGCTCCCCACAGCCCACTCTCAAGGCTCTTCCTTGCAGTAGCACGTGTCAGCACTCCATTCTTCAGGGCTGCGTGATATTCCATCAGCAGAGCTGCCCTGGGTGCTCGATGCAATTCTGCCCTTCTCGAGTCAGGAGGGAACGTCACCACCCGAGGTGACCACAACCTGCTGGACCTCTCAGCCTTCTTTTCCACCCGTATCCGTGGTTCAGGCCCTGGGTCCCATGGGGCCGACTGTGTGGCTGCAGGCCCAGCTCCGTGGCTTGAGATCGCACTGGGCGTGTGTGCCCGAAGTCCAGGGGGTGAGGAAGAAGGGACTGCAGTATGGCCGCCACGCCAGGGACAGTTTCTCATTCTCTCTCTGTCTCTCCGACAAGTGCACGTGTCCTGAGGCAATCATCTAAAACAACTCGAACACCAACACCACACTAGCCCGGGCCCACACAGGGCCAGGGTCACCCGTGTCCCCGTCTTTACCTCCAGGCCCTGCCCCTCTGGGAGGGCCACGATGAACCAAACTGCACAAGAGGCAGCAGTGCAACCCTGAGGCCCAGCAGGGCGGCTGGCGGCTTGGGGTGAGGGCAGCCAGGTCCCACACGGCCAGCCACATGGGGGTCCTGGAGCTGACAGCTCAAGAAAGCCCTGGATGCGTGTCATCCAGGCCCAGAATCGCACAGGGGAGAGATGGGAGGGGAGGGGCAGTGATGTGGCCCCCGCCCGGGCGCCCTCGCCGTCTCCCCTCCCTCTCCCTGGTAGGCACACAGACTCTACCAAACTAAAATAGAAGGGTCCCGGTAAGGAGGCGTCTGAGGCTGCTGCTGTCTAGAAGCTTCTTTATGTGCTGGGTGAGCACACCCTGGTGCCGTGAGCAAGCACGAGACGGCACAGCGCAGGGGGTGTGGCCAGTCACTGGCACTTCCGTGACCTCTGTCCCACTGACAGTGCAGCAGGCAGGTCACGCAGCAGGCCGCGGCAGGAAGGGGCGCTGCCCTGGGCCATGACGGCAGGTAGCAGGTGAGGGGCGCCTCGGCCCCTGTGGTCTCCCAGAGGCCACACCGTGAGGCCTCGTTGAGAGCAATGCCATGGGGTGACCTGCTGAGTCCCAACCCGTGTCCCCAGGAAGTGGGTGGACACGCCTGTGCGTGACCACGGAAAGCTCTGGACTATAGGCCAGCCGCATGTCAGCCTGGCTGCCTCCTGCCAGCCCAGCCGCTGGCTGAATCACGGGCGCCATGGCAACCATACAGAGAGGATGTTTTCATGAATCTCAGTGTCCCCGCTGTGACACCCGCCAGCTGTGCTCTGAGCTCTCACTGCACCAGAAAGGCCAGGTCCTGCCGGTCCCTGAAAACCAGTCTCGATACCACCGACATGCACACTGCACCTCCCCGTGGGGTCCAAACGTCACCTCGGCGTGATGACACTTACGCACAGCAGGGGCAGGCCACTGCTAGAGAAGGGAGCCCTGAGCTGGCCAGGGCCAAGGCAGGCAGGACGGCCAGGTGGCATGGCCCCCGGGACACAGGGCTCCTTTAGCACAGCTCTGCGAGCCGGCAGGTGGCAGCCCTGAGTGACTGCCTTAGATGCTGCTTCCAGTGACAGGGACAGCGGGAAAGGTACATCCCACAGAGCCCAGGCGGAGCGGCACCGTCCCTATCACCACACCCCACAGTCTACACTGCAGGCGAGCGACACCGTCCCTATCACCACGCCCCACAGTCTACACTGCAGGCGGAGCGACACCGTCCCTATCACCACGCCCCACAGTCTACACTGCGTTTCCCCCCGTCCTCAGTCCGGGCCGCCACGGTCACATTGCGCAGAATTCTCCCCAAGTAGAAAACACACGCCCGGGCACCGTCGTCTCCCAGCTCCTGCCGGTCCGGGGCTGCGGGGACAGGGACAGACATCCAGGGCGTCCGGCTGAGATGCTAGGCCTGGCGCCCTAACCTCACCTGGGCCATGCCAGCCCATCCACACCCTGGCCCCAACTGGGCAAGAGCCTCCTTGTTCCTGCCCCTCCGACCCTCAGCCGGGACAAGGCGCTCTAAGGAGGCCCGCCTGGAAACCGCTGGGTGGACAGGGTTCACCCGTGACTCCAGTGGGCCTCCCCAGGCCACCATGGCCTCTGCGAAGGGGACCTACTGACACCCGCATTTGTGTGCAGGATCTGGGGTACAAGAGACACCCGTGCTGGGTCCAGGTGACAGACAGGGTCAGCAGGGGTGAGGCCCGCCCTCCCTGCCCGCTGTCTACATGAAGACTGGCCGTGGCGGGAAGGGAGGACGCCCCGCCCTGGTCTCCATCTGTCTGGGCCGGCTCAGACCCGACTGGGCCTGGGGAAACCAGGCTGCTGAGGTCTCGGCGTGGGCGTCCCAGCCCTGCTGCCCCAGGCTCCAGCCTGCACCCCCAGGTCACCGCCTGGACAAAGGTAGTGAGCGGTGGGCAGCAGGCCCCGTCCACAGCGCCCCCGCGGGCTCCGAGCCCACCCGACACGGTTCAGGACCGGGCGCTCCGTCCACCCAAGGAGGAGACCCAGAGCCATGAAGGGCGGGAAGCAGACGGGAGGAGCAGGGCTGGTGGCGGGCGAGGAGAGGAGACGGGCTCAGGCAGAGCCTGCGTGACAGGCTGCAGCGTCCTCGGCAGGGGACCCACCCACGGAGGCACCAGCTCCCAACCCAGAAGCCATTGCCCCAGCCTCAGCTTCACACTCGGCTTCCCATGGAGCTAACACACGGCCCAGGACGCAGCCAGCCCTCACAGCCCACGGGCACAGGTGCAGGGACCCCGACGACGCCACACTCGCAGGCGCCCAAGCCCTAAGCATGAGATGCAGCATTTGCATGTAGCCGACACGCCTCCTGCAGCTCTGCATCAGCCCGATTCACATACCCAGCCCAGACCCTGCCCCATGCAGTCCGGGACACACGGGCCAGAGTGTGCTCAGGGACACCCGGGCCCTGCCCCGTCCTGCCCAGACACACGGGCCAGATCGGGGCCCACCATGCTCAGGGCCACACACAGAGTGGTCTCATTTCTGCCCACGGCTGGCTGACTCCCAGCTGCGGAACCCGTGGGCGTGGACAGCCTACTACACGCATGCACATGTAGAGAGCAGGGGTCACTCGGGTGCCCTTCCACACCTTCCCCTCGTCCCCTCTACCAAATCCCAGCTCCCTGCTCCTCCCACTTGGAGGGCTCGAGGCCCTGGTGCTGCGGTTTGAGCCCTCAACCACGCCTGGTCAGCAGAAGAGGCAGACCCAGGGCCACTCACCATTGACACAGGCCTCCGAAGGTGTGCACAGGCTGTCCTCGAACAAGCAACCTGGCAGAGACAGAGGGGAGAAGGCAGTCAGTAAGGGGCAGAGGCAGCTGTGTACAGGCTGCAAGGCTGGCCCCTCCCGCGCTGCTCCAAAGCTGGACCGTGCCCTGGCTAGGGGCGGGGCGGGAGTTTGTGCCCATGTCCTGGCCCGCCAGGGGTGGTGACGCGGCTGGCTTTGTCAAATCGGGCAGGCCCCCTTGGTCTATGTGTCGTGGACAGAGACCCAGGGGACATACTCCGTCCTAGTGCAGCCAAGCCCACGCCAGGCCAAGCCACGGGCTCCTAGCCACATGTGCAGTCGGCACGCTAAGGCAGCAGCGGGCATCTGGGTCCTTCTCTGGAGAAGTGTGTCCGACACACACACATACACACGTAAGCACACGGCCCACACCTGCCAAAGCAGAGAGGCATGGGGGGGGGGGCGGCTCAGGCCTTTGCTCTCAGGCCAGCGGTGACCATGGCCAGAATGTAGGGGAGGTAGAGAGGGAGGGAACGTGGCAGGGTGCACAGGGGGAGGTGCAGCGGCAGAGCAGGACGGACGGTGGACCTTGGGTGCAGGAGCAGGTGAGACACGGCCCCTCAGGCCGGGCCTCCACCCCAACCCTGATGGAGAGGAATGAGCCTCAGGCTGACCGACAGCAGATAGCAGTCACGGGCAGGCCTGTGACTTCTGCTCTGTGCTGTCCAGTGAGCCGCAGACCCAGGAAGGACCCTGGGGACTGCCCTGGGCAGTTGGGCCAGTCAGGGTGTGAGCTCCAGGAGCGCCGTGCAGCAGGACAGGCACCAGCAGCCGTGTACGAGGCCCGCATCCCGGCCCTGACTACAGTCGCCCTGTCCAGCGGGACCGGGAGCCAGCAGTGCCTTTAACAATATCGATGACACATTCCCGCCAAGCATGGTGCTTTCTGTCCCGTTTCTCTGACAAACTCCTCCTCACCCACAAAGGCCTTTGAAAGTCCCCCGGGGAGTCTCTGGAGGGCCCAGCAGACATCCTGCCCAGTGCCCGGCTCAGTGCCCACCATGCGGTGCCACGGCCGCTGGCTCAGACCCGTCTCCCTCGGCTACGGGGTCCTAGGACATACCCTCAGCCCCCCACTCCATCCACGGGCCTGGTCTGCCTGCCAGGGTGGGTGCCGGGAGGGAAGCCAACAGGTGAGGGGCTAGGATCGGACACTTCTGCTTATTTATATTTGAGAGATTTTTGCCATAGAGTGCGTGTGCAAACTGGAGAGAGAGTGAGAAATGACCCTTTTGTAGGGTGGACCACACCGCAATCCCTTCTCCATTCTCCTCTCAGGACTCTGGGCACGCACACAACCGTGCCCAGCGTGATTTTCAAGCTGCTGAGTCCAGGACTCGAGCGGCAGTCGGACCAGTGGCGTCCAGTGACGTAAGCCTGCACCACCTGCTGGCCTGCGTCACCCACACGGCAGCTTTGGTCCGGGCCTCTTCCCAAGGGCCTGGCCTCAGACCTCAGGCCCGCAGCCTTCAGGACATCAAACAAGTGAGTTTGCGCAGGACACAGGGCCGGTGTCTGCAGAGAGCTGAAACCGCCAGCCAGGACGGAAGGCACCGTCCAGGACGACGCGGGCCCCGGCAGGCGAGGTGCTCTCCGTCCGTCCTGTGCTCTGCATGAGCCTTTCAAAGAGCGGTGGTCCGCCGGGTCACGTTCCTGAGGGTGGTCCTGGAGCACCGCGGGCGGCTGCCCGGGCTGCCAGGCTGCGCCTCGTCCCAGAGCAGTGGGCTCCTGAGCACGGGGGCTCGACGCTCAGCCATGGGGCCTCCAGCTGGGCAGATCCCCCTTTCTGAAAGAATGCACTCTCACAGCGGCCCCGCACCCACCGTGCACACTGCCAGACCCCGGCCCGGGGCTGACCCGCACCCCTTGCCCTGCCACCCGCGTGTCCCTTTCTTCCTGGCCCCTCCTCGCCCAGTAAGTGCCCAAGCCAGGCAGGATGTGGGGAAAGGGCAAGCAGCCTGAAAACCCAGCCATGGCCAACCACTGCAAGCCAGCCGGGCCAGCCAGGGTCATGGCGTGGCGGGCTCTGGGCGCTCCCTCTCTCAGCTGCGCACGTCCCCCTCCGCCCCCGGGAACCACCCCAAGCCACACAATGGTCTCAGACATCCCAGCACCCCGAGTGTGCAAAGGCAGGAGGGAGGGAAGCGGTGCGGCCCGGGCGGAGACTCGCTCACACGCAGCCTGCCGTCTGTCACATGGCCATGGCGGGTGGCAGACCTGCTAGAAACGGCGCCGGGAAAGGTCCAGATGTCGCCATCACCCTGCTCTGACCGTGGCCGGGGACACACGTGACCGACTGGGAGCCCGCCACACTCGGGGAGAGGCTGCTGGCCACTGTTCCCAGCAGCACACACGCCCAGTCGGCAGGCACCATGCCCCCAGCTACCAGGGCGCTCGTGCCGTTTGCTCCAACGTGAAGAAGGACGTGTGTCAGCCACACGGCGACCCCCTGCCAGCACTCGCAGCAGACGCCGGCTCAGCCCCTCCAGGTCCCGGGTCATGGCTCCGAGGCAGACTCCTGGGCCCACCCGAAGCATGGTGTGACCGGCAGCTGCTGGGCCCCAAGCCTCGCACTCGCAGGCAGCCACGGGCGGACCAGCAGGGACAGCAGCGTCAGGGCAGGCCGGGACCCTGGAGAGAGCCTGCAGCAGCCCCTGCAGTCCGGCACCCACAGGGACATGTCCTCAGCTTTGACCCCCCACCCTTCTCTTGACAACATGGCATATTCCCAACTGCTCGCAAGGTAACCGTCAGCACAGGGCCACAGAGCTCGGGAGTCCTCCTCACCGTCATGCCCACAGGTTTCCTTCTAGCGTCAGCACACGTGCACATGCACACACACAGTCACACGTGCACACACGCACAGTCACACACAACACGTGCACACATGCAGCTGCATGTGCACACACATGCACAGTCATACACAGTCACATGTGCACACACAGCAAAAGTTACATGCAGTCGTGAGTGCTTACACACGCAGTCACATATGCACAGTCATACGTGCACACACGCAGTCTCATATGCAGTCACACATGCACACACAGTCACCACACATGCACACACATGCAGTCACATGTGCATAGTCACAATACAGTCACACAGTCACATGTGTGCACATCACAGTCCCATGAACACACATGCACACACATGCACACTCACGTGTGTACACATGTACCTGCGGATATATGCATGCATGGACAAACACATGCATATGCAAGTGCTCACATGTACACACATGCTAACATGTGCATGCATATGTGAACACCTCATCTTCTTTTACTGCCAGAGGGCACATATGCTTGCTAGAGAGAAAGAGAGAGAGAGGAACATGGGGCTTGGTCACGCTTCAATTCCGTCTCCATTTCTCAGTCCTGTGGGGTTCAGAGCACACACATGCATGCACCCAGCATGTTTTCAACCCACCAAGGCCAAGATTCAAACCACAGCTGGCCAGGCGGCTGGTCGGGTAGGCCGGCCGGGGCAGGGCGCAGTTCCCAAGCACAGTGGCTCACTGCAGCTCAGGCCAGCCCTCGCCGGGCTCCTGTTCTAGCTCTGTCCTCGGTGCTCACTGGAACACCAAGGAACCCCTCAGGACTGTGGCACCTCTCTGTTAAAAAGTCCTTCCTGCAGTGAATGAACGCTGTCCCTTTTCAAGTGCACTGATCTGCTCCTCAGACCCCGTCGCTCCTCGGAGACATCTTGGAGAGTGCAAGGCCGTCCATGGGAGGAGCCCGTGGCTTCCCAGTTGGGGTAGGAAGGCCATCCACCTGGCCACTGGTGCCCTGCACCCGCTACAGGACTGTCCTCCCTCTGGGCCTCGTTCCCTGGAGCCGGGCTATGGTAGGGGCAGGAGGCCCAGCACTCCTCAGCCACCAACAGCCCATAAGACCTCCACCCGGCTCGGGCCCCTCACCCGCCGTGGCTTTGCCAGAGCCTGGGGTCACAGTGCGCCTGCAGCATGAGGCTGGGCAGGTTTTCCGACCTTGCAGAGGGAGGGGAAGGGCACAGTTTCAGCGAGCTCTCTCACCAGAGCAGCGTTCCCTCCAGCTGGCTGCCTAGCAGGTCTGAAAAGCAACAGGGTGATTCTTAGAGCCCGCGCATTCACCCAGAGTCTGAAAACCGAGAGCTCATAGAGCGGTGGTGGTTAAGGCTCTGGATCCCACGTGGCCAACACCGTGGGACGAGTCCTGACCTGGAGCCTGTAAAAAACGCCAGGTGTGGACACAAGTGTGTCCAAAACCCAAGAGGAGAATGGAGAAGGGATCACAGCGTGGCCATTGCCCCCAGGGGTGCTTTTTCACTTTCTCTCTCTCTCTCTCTCTCTCTCCAGAGAACACACTTACCTATAGCAAAGTTTTAAAAGGGGTTGGAGGAAGAAGACATCTCAGAAAGAACTGGGTCTCCCTGGGACCAACCAGCCCGCAGTGCAGAGGACCCGTCTCATAATACCAGGAGCTTCTCTGTCCGAACCCATGTGAACAGTCACTGTGTGGCCACTGAAAACAGGCTCACGGGGATTTGTTCTCCTCAGTTACTTGGTAAACTGGCTGCATAATGCAAGGGGAATGCCACGTTAAAATGACACAAGGACCGCATCCTCGGCCGTGTTAAGAAAACAAGAAGAAACACACCTCATTGACAAAGATGTCTACAGAGTGAAAGTGAAGGGCTTTTTTCATTCCACAGAAATGGAAATAAGGCAGGGTCATGATATCGATATAAGAGGAAATAGATGTTAGGATAAAAAGGGTAAGAAGAGACAGAGGGGTGTCATATAGTTTTACTTATGTATTACATTTCGTCACTGTGCATCATTATACATACACAGAGCTTGACAAGGACTAATTTACCAAGAAGCTATAACGCCGCCACAGCCCGAGTCCTCCGCCCTCAGCACGGTCAGCCCACGGTGCTCTTCAACGCCGTGTCCACGGCAAGCCCTGGGGCCGCATCTCCTTCCAGTTGTTTGCAGACAAAGTTCCAAAGACTGCAGAAAACTTTCGTGCTTTGAGCACTGGAGAGAAAGGTTTGGTTACAAGGGTTCCTGCTCGCACAGAATTACGCCAGGGTGGCGACATCACATGCCACAACAGCCCTGGTGGCAAGTCCGTCCGTGGGGAGAAATTCCGTGATGGGAACTCCGCCCTGAGTGGCTGGATGCAGGCAGGTGGGCTTCAGCAAGGCGGAAGAGGGCACGGGCATCGTGGAAGCCACGGAGCACTCTGGGTCCAAGAACGGCCAGGCCAGGAAGGTCGCCGCTGCTGACCATGGGCCACGCTCGTGAGTTTCACTTGTGTCCTCTCGCCCACCAGGCCTTCCCCACAGCTCAGGAGAGCACCTCCGCCCGTCCGCTCGCCATGCCCTGTAACCCGTGCTCTCGCATTTCTTTGGGTTCCATATTTTCCCAAGTCCCCTCCAAATCTAGATGAATTTCAAGTTAAGTTTATGATTATAAAATAAAAACTAAGTGACAGTTTAAAAAAAAGAAGATACAAAATTCATAAATATTTATGCACCTAACACCAGAGCAACCAAACTTATAAAAGAAAGGCTGCTAGCATTAAAGGGAGAGGTAGGTTCCAATACACTAATTGTGGGAGATCTTAGCTCCCCACTGTCATCACTGGACATGTCATCTGGACGAAAAGTTAACGAGACAGAAACCAAATGGACCAGACAGACAGACACACAATTCCACCCAGCAGCTACGACAGACAGACACGCAGCGTTCCACCAGCAGCTACGACAGACAGAGAACAATTCATGCAGCAACTATAGGACGCACTT